ATCCGCTTGTTGTCATAGTTGTTTTCAGCCTGTCATTATAAGTGATGTTTGTGTTTGTGTAAGTAACAGCAGGAGAGTTCCCTATTGACTGTCTAATATATAAAGCACTGCAAACCAAGCCTTAATGATTACTTATCATTCAATCCTTTTCTACTCTTTATTGTGCTTGATTCCTGGGTATTAATTAGGTAATTTAAAAAAAGTTTAATGTCTACCTATGTAACACTTTGGCCATTGACAGACATTACACTTTTACTGGTATAAGTGATCGGAAACTGGCCTATACCCGTCACAGAACAGAAGTTCAGCACACGTAGACTGATTTAAAAATGGTAGAACCCTGTCTAAGATTTCTTTCTTCCCCCCATCTCCTGGGGGGAATGTGTGTTGTGTGTTCACTACCAATCTAAACTACTCCATTTAAAGAAAACCATGTAGCTTAGATTGATTCTGCCTCAGGCTTTGTGAATGTCTATACCTAGCCTTGGACTTCATACTGGTGCAACATTTCTATGCAAAGGAAGAGAAAGTGTATATACCTTGCAAGCTGCAATCTATTGGAAGTTAAAAGTCCTTGTATATTATAACAAAAGTGCCCCCAGAATAGTTGGTAAACATTTGCTCTTAAAAATTATAGGACTTAAAATAATTTTCTTAGTTCCTTTGTTCCATGTACTAAATGCATCTTCTCTCTGTATAAAAATAATATATTTCTTCTATCACTTATTTTTCCAGTAAATAGGAGCACAAAAAGTATCTGGAGTGGAGTGGGTGATCAGTTTTATTCTCTTTGGAAAAGTACTGGATACGGTTACTAGTAGCTAACTGTGCACTATATCTAATTGATGTCTGGACTTAATTTCTTCATATCCAAAATACAAGCCTGGTATCTGTAACAATTTATCTGATGTTATTACTGAAGTCTCTGTACTATTTTGGTTATCTCACATTGTGGTTTGTCTACTTGTAGAATATAGAATACCCTTCTTTAAAGGTGACCAGAACTGAGCCCAGTTATTTTGCACATGGCCTCAACGCTGGTGAATCCCTTCCCTAGTGCTAGAAAGATTGGTTCTAAAATATCCAATACCTTTATTTATGCTTTTCCAACTAAGGAGAAAACCAAGAAATAGAAATGAATAAAACAGCAGACTCAGCAGATCTTATCTTGGTGCTTTTTCCCTGTGTTTTCATTTGCACTTCTATTTCCATGCAATATTTCATTTTTTTTGCATCTATCACAGCTTGCTTCTGCCAGAAGTTCAAAGCCAGCTGATTTCATAAAAGCAGGACAGTATTGACTGATCTATAATATTGTTTCTCCTCTTTTTTTGACCAATCCTCGATGCACATTTCCAATTTTGAAAAGCATTTCATGAATCACTGGGCAGTTTGAAAAATCTATAGCATGAGCTCATTACCATGCTGGCTGGTGCATATTACCTATTGGTTGTGTTTGCAATGTAAAACTGGTTCCAACCGGCCCTTTCTTCCTAGAAAAAATGTTAAAATTTCATATATGCATAAATAATAAAATATATGTGGAAGTGATACCAATGTGATGGATTGTATTTATTATGTTTCTTGGACTGCCTCTCTGCCTATTAATCCATACAGTCCCCCCCACTGTACTCTAGTGCCCTAGTGCCTTCAAATAGCCACACTTTTTTAATCAAGTTGTCAGAAAAAGGTTTTTTTCTTCCCTCCTGAAATGTGGAATTCCCAATTGCCCTGCAAATTTTCACTGACCTGAGGCCCAGGACAGGCAGTATTCTTTTTTATAGTACTGACAGGCTTAAGGTATGAGATCGCAAGAACCCATAAAACTAGAAATGGGAGGTTTGTACTCTTGGCATGAGGTCCTAGCCCCAGTCAACTCAATAAGGAATGTAGGATTGATCTCAGTGGGGCCTTTACCTCCAGAGAGGGAAGAATTACAGCTTTAATATAACTTGCTTCTGGCCCTCAAAAGGTGCAAAACAGCAAACTTCTAAAAATATATTCTGGATTTTTGGATATATATTAATTACCTTGTTTGTAATATATTTTTCCTCATTCTCAGCCACAAATAACCATAGTAAGTAAGGCATCTATATGAAAAACAGTCTTGGGACAATTTTTAAAAACTACTAGTACTATTACTAGCACTATTTCTACAAGTCCATGGCCTATAGAGAATGCATGGTAGAACTATATAAAGCTGTGTACAGCCCTCCTGCAGGTTGCCTTAGCGATCTCCCCTACTACTGATTATTTTGTACCACACCAGACACCTTCCTTTCTGATCCTCCGTCTCTTGTGTACTTAACTACAGTTTTCTTGCCACCCTTCAAAACTGGGCGCAGAGCAGTCAGAATTACTCTCCAACATCACAATCAACAATGCTTATTATTTTAAAGCAACAGAGCCACTTTGGTATCAAAGAGCATCACTGACAGTCACAAAATAATTAAAGATTTAAGGTTAAAGCATTAAGGACATGGAGGGAAGCATGAGCAGCTGTGGCATCTGTGCAGCGGTGATTTGGGGATGTCAGCAGACACAAACAGAATGTCTCCAGGGGACTGGGGAAGGGATGGAGTAGGCTGCATGATCATAAGTGGCATTTGCTGCACTTACATGCTCTTGCCATTGCTGCCACAAAGGTATAAGCCAGTGTGTATGATGTCAGTGTCACGGCCTCACTCCATGCACATGTACATGTGCTTCTGAGCACAACATACCAGCATTGCCCAGCCCCCGATCTGCACTCAGCCTGTGTAAGTCAAAGGATTTCAGCTCCAGAGATGCACTGAAGGAGGAGAAGAAAGTAAAAAGGCTCTCCAACTAGTGAGCAGCCCCTGTGGCCTTTGGAATGCCAGGTAGGTAACAAATATAAACAGTAGTGAAGCCATTCAGTCCAAGCAGCTAATCAAAAGTTAATTTAGGGATCAGAGAAAGATCTCTGGCATTCCAAGTCTGCTACCAGTCTTGAGAAGTTTGCTTTTGTCTGTGCCACTGCTACCTTCATGTATTTTTCACTCCCATCTGTTTTCTTTTGACATTTTCCTCCCCTATACTCCCTGCAACTGCTGCATGCAGGTCAAACCCTTGTGCAGTTCTTTACATGTCTTTCAGATACCACCTGGGGTTAAAGTAAAATTGAAGGAGGTAAGAAAGCAGCGTACCCAGCTTCCTTCTCTGCTAAAGCAGCAGGAAATCTCCTCACCTCATTCAGGTACTGCTTAGCCATAGCTCTTCTTTCTCTCCTATGGTGAGAGCTCACACTACTGTTTCAACTTTAACCCCATAGATACCATAGTGATGGGGGCTATATATAAATACACAAGGAGAATCCCAGCCAGAGGAAAGTATCTAGGGATACAAAAAAAAAACAAAACAAAAAAAAATCAATATAGATGACACTGGTCTCAAGTCTTCAACTGACATAGACTGTGGTGAAGCGCGTCATCCAAAAGCAGCAAACAAGATTGTTGATTGATAGGACACAGTTGCTGCAATGCTTCATGTAAACAGAGCACCAAGGCAGAATTTTGAATACGTAGTTGGAAATCCATTTCAGTATCCCTGGCATTTTAAAAAGAAATTATGGCTATATGATTCACTTTTCATTGAATCAGTCAAGTCCAATGAACTTTAAAATATGCTTTATTGACTTGTTTCCAAGTTGATGAAGTGTTCATGAATTCAGTCTGTATTCTTCTACTTCTTGTAAGTGTAATTATTATATATCATATGAATGAGTATACACTCACGCACATGTAAACACAAATACACACTTGTAAATATGAAAACCCACAAAGTTGAAACTACTAATTTATGGGAACTTAAAATGAAATTAAACAGCTGGGCTGTTTTCCAGTTGCCTTATAAAGTTCCCATGCTTACACATAAAAACCTCTGTAGAATTTACATTTCACTCCTCTATTTATTTCACTATGTATTTGACTGCCAAGAATAATGTCCATGACCATCATGGCAATCTAATTAAATACCAGAGAATCAGAAAATTGGACATTATTCAAGGCAAGCTCAGCATTAAATTGGAAAATCTAACCTGCCTACTTTATCAATAGATTTAGCAACCAGCCCCAACTACCCAAAAAAACATAAGCTTAATGAATTTGGTCAGACATACTGTGTAACAGATGTCTAACATACAGCCTTGAGCCTAAATCACAAATATGATACTTCAGTTTGGCATGGCAAAATATTTTAGAGGAGCAGTGTCAGTCACCAGAAACCTGCTTGCTGATAGTTGAGAAACAGCACTGTAAAATGCATGAGCTGCCTTTTGTAGTCTATTGCAGGAAGCCTTGGAGAGCCACAGATAATTTGCTTTCAATGATTCATCAAGTTGGCCCTTTGTTTCACTAATTTGAGTGTCAAGTGCAACCGCATAATAAAGAATTACCAAGACCTGATAAGATTCTTTTTATACTGCTTCTCCTGTCTTAACAACTGGTACTATTCAACCTAAACCACAAATTGAATAAATAGCAACTATGCCTGCAATACCAACAACCTTCTTTCAAATGATAAAGCATGTTTACTGCCCTATCCACTGATGTGGCATACATTGTTTCTGCTAATAATTTCTACTTTCTTAAAAGGCATTAGATGCTGCATGCTGTGCCATAGCTATGGATGGTATTTGTTCCACTGATACTCTACCAATGAGTTAGTAAATATGAAAAATGGATTTCAGTGACAATTCCAGCCTTGAGAAAGATGCTATTTGTGATCATGGCTGAGTTAACTTGCTGATCATTTTCTCCTTAATGTAATCTTTAATATTATATTGCTATAGGTTAGATGTGAAGCCATAGATTAAAACTATTATTTTTGATGACTAGTTCCAAGAGAAATAGGTTCATAATTAAGATATACATTATTTTGCAAAAATGCTATGCTGTCATTTTAATAACGTCGTAAGAAACCAACCTTACAATGGGCTGCTTTCAAGGGGCACATACATAAATGTGGAATACCCAGAGCAAGAAATGCATGTAATTTAAGTGGCTTTATTAAAGTTTTCACAATTGACCTATGCACCATTAATACAGTAAAACCAAAGGAAGAGATAAGGAAAGACTCCAGAGGACTGCTTATCAAACAAGAGTGGAAAGATGGGGGGGTTTTGTCCAGCTCCCAGAAAGATGGCATTAGAGGCAAGACTACAAGAAACTACAGGTCTGCTTTGAAATGACAGCAGCACGTTTAAACGAGGGAGCAGAGGAGAGTAAGCATTACAGGGGAAGCACCGGGCTCTGAAGAGCCCAGTAAAAACAGTCTGAGGCAGGGAGGGTGTTACGTTTTTTGACAAAAAGAAAAAAACAAACCCCCTGAATATAATTTAGATGAAAGACTGTTGCCTGAAAACCACAAGCCTCACAAAATCCAGTCCATGCTTGGAGAGTGATGAATTTTCCACTAGGACAAACAGAAATCACGGAAGGTGGAGACTGTGCCTTGGTGCTAAAAGCCGGATTAAACAAAAAAGAAAGCCAAGCTGGTGTCACATAAGGCTGGGGGGAGTTGTGAGAGCCAACGCGGACCAGGCGCCGGCAGCTGTAGAAAGCCCCTCTCTCTCCCGTTTCGCTTCAAGATGGGGGAAGGCGCCCCCCCGCCCGCAGGGCGCAGCAGGACCCGACGGCGCACACAACTTCACTTCTGCAGCCCCTGAAGCCGCCTCTGGGCTGGCGGCGGCGAGGAGGAGGAGGAGGGAAGCCGAGTCGTTTAGGACCCAGCAGGCAGTGGCAGGCGGCAGCCGTGTGTCTCGCTCAGACTAAGAGGGTCCAGTTTTAATTCCGTCTCTAATCTCCGCCTCAGACAGACGGCCGCGCTCGCCCGCGGCCCGCGCGCCCGCCATGGGGAGCCGCGGCGGAGAAGCGGCCCCGGCGGCGCGAGCTTGAGGGCTGGCGACACCCGCGAGCGCGAGATGAAGACCCTGGTGGTGAGTGAGTGAGTGAGGGCGGGAGGGGGGGAGCCGGCCCGGGCGCACGTCCCAGCCCAGCCCGCTCGCGCCGGGCGGCCGCGGAGGGGGAGCAACTTTGCCCCCGCTTTGCCGGTCCTCGCGCCGCCCCGGGGCGTGGGGGTGTCCGCGGGGCAGGGGAGCCCGCTCCTCGGCGCGGGGGGCTCCCCTGGCCGGGTCCCAGCGCGGTGTGTCCCCCTTGCAGCGCCACGGGCTGGCGGTGTGCTTGGCGCTCACCACCATGTGCACCAGCGTCCTGCTCGTGTACAGCAGCATCGGCGGCGGCGGCGGCCAGAAGGAGCCGGGCCAGCGGCGGCAGCAGGTGGCGGTGGCGGCCTCGGGCCGGCCGGAGAAGCTGCAGCAGCAGCAGCTGGAGCTGGGCAGTGGCCCGCGGCGCCCGGCGCTGCCGGCGGGGACGGGGCTCCTCGATGGCTACATCAGCGTCCTGGCCCACAAGGTGAGTCCCGGCCCGGGGCGGTGACGGGGAGGCTGGCAGGTGTTTCACCGCTGCCTCGGCTGCTCCTCCTCTGCTCTGCTTCCGTGCCAAACTCAGCAGCTCAGTATCTGGGCACGGCTTTTCCAGACAAACGCCTCTGTGTCTTGGGGCGGTTGGAGCCAAGGGTGCTTGTTTGTTCTCCCGGCCCCTAGCAGGGGCAGCAAGTGGGCGCAGAGAAATAGGCTTGGGTCTTGCCTTTTGTTCGGGAACGTGCTCATGTCAGGTCAAAGAAATGGGCTCAAACTCAGAGCAGAAAGTAATCTGTGGTGTCTCCGGGAGGGCTGAGAAAGCCCTGTCCTCCTGCGCTGGAGAGCATCTCCTTTGCTGAAGTTGTGAGACCAGCATCTCCATCCCAAAAAGGCACTTCTGGGGCACTGCTTTCATTTCATACCTTGTTGCCCTTTCACCTCAGCGGCATTGAAGTTGCTCGTTAACCTCAGGTGCATCCCTTATCTTGAGATGAGCAGATGTAATCCCATGGTGGTCTACCTGGTAGCCTGGTTCCCCAGGTTTTCAATCTCCAGTGCCCTTTAGCTAGGGGTGAACAGAATGAGGGATCCGTTATTTCAGATGGTCACGTGTGAACATCCCTCGCAAAGGACGGACATTGATGCCAAACATCTGAGGGGGGTAGGAGGGTAGACACTGGCCTCTAGGCTCTTGTTTGGAAACCAAACAGTTTAGAATAAGAAATCTGAATGCTACGCTATGACCAGTGACAAGTTATTGGGCTCAATACAGCTGGTTTCACGTGCCTGTCACAGACAGGTGGTCTAATGGTCCCTTCTGGCCTTACACTTTGTGAATGTTTGAAAGGCAGGACTGTGTTGCTCATCACAAAGGAGCATGGATCCTAGTGGCCCTCATTCAGAGAGGGCTGGACGTGGCCCTCGTATAACAGCATCAGCGTCAGTGGGCGCCAGAGGGAGCAGAGCCAGCAGCAGCAGCAGCAGGTGAAGTGGTAGCCTCTGGAAGTGTGGAGAATCAGTAGCTGGATAGTTTACTGCTTCCACTTCCTCATGGATGTCTCCATCTCTCCTGTAGATATGGCAGGTATTTGTGTTTTCTTATAGCTAAGTAAGTCTTTCTGTTTGACTTGACTGCAGCAGGTGAAATAAACAGGGTTGATTTGGGAACAGCTTTAAGTGACCACGGTCTTTGTAAATAGTAATATTAAAGTGGTAGGCCGGGTCTGAGCAAGCCCTGATCCCCATCACTGGTTCTTCTGACCCAGCAATATTTCTAATACTGGACAGTAACGCCAGAACCAAAACTGCACATCGCTTTTCAGACTCAGTATTATACTGTATTTGGATAACAGCTGCTCCTCTGGTTTGCTGATAATGCATCTCAAAACCTAAAGATACTTTCTGTTCAGGAGTTTCATTGCAGTAAGTAGCAGCTCTGGCCTTCACTGAAGTTGTATTAACTTTTCCAGGTAACTTCCATGACACCAGCATGTCCCTGCCTCCATCTTCTCCATGCCCCATGAAGCAATGGAGAGCTATGCCATGAAATCTGTGAGACCTTTGCTCTGCACAGAGGGAGGGATACCACTGTGATCTGGCCATTTTATTATTACAATTTATATGGAGTTACATGGGTTTAAATACACAGATGACATCATGTTTATCTTCTCTCATTTTTTGGGCGAGGGAACAATGGTGTAGGTAGGTAAGCAAGGATGGGGAGACTATTGATGTTGAGAGCAAGTTAGAAGGAAAGATTGTTAGAAAGAAAGACAGGATGCTGTGGATAGGATACAAGAGGCTGTTCTAAGCATAGAAGGCAACCTGAGGGACAGTAGAAAAGTCCAGAGTGCAAGAGAAGGAAATTAGGGAGATGAAAGGAGTGGAAGAGACCATGAAAGGAGAATTGACAGCACGACAACAGAGGGGGTAAAATTATGTAGGGTTGAGGATGAGAAGCTCAGATATGATGCTGTAAAAGACAGAGCACCATTAATGAGACTGAATGAGTGTATACAATGGTGAGAGGTTTGAAACAATGAGAAAGAAGGTGATGTTTCAGATAGACTGGCTAGCAAATTTCCACAATGTATTTTCCTTAATTTTCCATATGGAGTCTGGATACCCCATTATAAATGCTTGAACTGAAGTATATACATGTTTTTTATGTATGTTGTGTTCAGCAGGCAATGCTGCATAACAATTGGGCAATAAGAGACAAAAAGATAGAAACCAGTTTTAAATCTGGAAGCTAAAATATTTTGATATTGTGTTTCTGTCTCGCATGTTTTGGTTTACTGCGAGAACTGAGTTTGTTGTTTGTATAGTGCCTATGCGTGACTTGCTTTATGATGTATATACATATCCATGTACAGAGGCTATATAAATACTAAGTTTATTAATAAGAATCAGAAAAGAATTATATTGGCACATGCAGAGGTTGTTTTGGCATTTCTCTTCAGCGATAAACATTGAAAATTATCCAGCCTAGTAAAATGTGATACACTATGTGTCATCAATAGCAGTAGTGGTCCAGTGCTTGGCAGGCTACAGGTACTGAAACAAATTGTCTTATTCTTGAAGATAGTATTTTCCTGGAAGTCAAGACTTGAATATTGTTAAACAGAATGTCACTGTTTTAAATATCACCTGCACTACCTCCCTCTTCCTTTTTATATGCAGTATGAATTGTGGTCCTAGGTCTGCTAACAAGATGAGCGCACACAGCTCATATTATACCTAACTTTTCTCATTTATCTCATTTTTCTCATTTACCAAATTGAGGTGATTTTTGCGAAAAACTCTTATCACTTATCCTTTGCTTCTTATCCTTCGCTGTTCAGTTTTTTGCAAACCAACTCAATTTTCTTCATTCAGCCAGCAGATGTTAGAACCAATGTTCTCAGCTTCAGCAGCCTCCTGTACTTCAGAAGTGGCAAAATATATTTTACTGAACTGAACTAAAAAAAAAATTATATATATAAAAGGTCTGAATGGTTCCCAGCATTTTCTGTGTAGTATCCTAGATCTCCAACAGTTGAAAATCTTTACTATTTAATGACTATGAAATGTGTAGGTGGTCTCACGTTAGTTCCCAGTGGCTAGATGTACATACTGTAGAAATATAATCACGATCTATCCAAAACCCACAGATTGTTAAAAGTTGCTGCTGAGAGGTCAAGGACCGAGGGGACACAGAGAATAGTACTTGCTCTTTCTCCTCTTAGAAGCTGCCACTTCAGAGCAAAACTGAGACACGTTGACAAGCTAGCACAGGGAAGCTTGCACTGTCTCTGTAAATGCAGTATCCTTTCTATGGTAAGAAAGAAAACAGTCTCCCATGTTATCTAACCAGTAGCTTTTATGACTTCTTTCTGTGTAATCCTGCATCCCTACTTTTAATGGAAGTCAACCACTTTTTCAGAAGCAGGAACAAGCTTTGTCAGTCTGTCTGTCTAGTCATCAAACAAAGGGATGTAATATTTTTTTACTCATTTATTCAAGTGAAAAGCACAATGTTAGCAATAAATTACAGTGCTAATGTTTTACAAGCAATTACTGCATAGAGATAGGAGAGAAGCAATAAAAACTAAGTCTAGCAGTATTATGGAACTTTCAAGAAATAAATATTTAACCATCTTATTCTGAAATGAATGTGAGAACATGCCTCTGGATAGTGGTAAGGATCCTTTACCCGAGTGTTGACTCAACAGTTGATACCATAAATAAAGTGTGAGAATTTTGTCACAGATATAATTGAAAAACATCTCAAGCCATCAAAGACTTTGCTTGGTGTTGGTCTACTCTTTAAAAAAAAATCTTGCATATAAAATGTCTCCATGCTTTGGCCCAAGTCTGGGCCCTTTCAGAGAACATTATGACCAGTATGATCATTTTAATGGATCATAATAATAAAACGTCAGAGAACAGTACAGTTAATCAAGTGCTTGAAGAGGAATCATTCTGCAAATAGTTCTATAGCTCCATAATCCCTCAGATATAAGGACTTGTCTAGGATATAATTACTTTATGTAAATAAGAGAAACTTTTTTCAAGGACAGGGAGAAAAAAGTTACTTTACCCTAACCCCTTATATTTACTTAGTGCCATAAGTGTTAGATAGAACATCTGAAATTCCTAATTAAATAGGAAACAACAATTTGGCCTGAATGGCTCTTGTGACCATCAGATTAAACATTCGTGGCTGAAAAACTTAATTCAAATGTGGTAATGGAGAGAAAGGGAATTTGTTTTAGGAATTTGGTTTATTCCATTTTTTAAAATCACAAGATAATGGGTTGTCAAAATAGAATATCTCTTTTTCTTTTCAGGAGAGGTCAAGCCTCCTGGGATAGGGCATATGCTGAAGTGAGCTGTCAACAGATTTCACAGATCAGCCTAGGAGCAGAGGGTTTGTTATGCAGTGTTTTGATGGAACCTTTGTTATGTAATAGATCCACAAGGGGGAGACTTTATTCTAGAATAACCTTGTTGGGGGAGTCTTTGTTGTGACAAGTCTCAGCAGGGTGTAGTTTGGTAACAGAGTAGGAACTGGACTTGTTTTATGGCAGTGCCTCCGTGTTTGAAGATATACAATTAATCTTTGCTTCTAAAAGCTCATAGATTCAGTAAAATAGTCATAAAAAGTTAATAGATTAAAAAGTGGAAAAAATTGTAATATTTTGACCAAACTTTTGAGGGGAAGAAAAAGGCAAAATTCAGCAACACAGTGAATTACATTGAGTGAATATATTTATATGCATGTGCATTAATTTTAGAGAATTACAATCATCTGAATGTTTGCAATATTGCATTTGCTTTTGAGCTACCATAGCAGTCACTTATTTCTCAGTTTAACAAATCATAAAACTAGTTTATGGCATTTTGATTATCCTTATTTTAAGTTTTTATCAGCACCTTTGTGCAGTGAGTGATAACATTCAGTCTGCATTACAGAGGATGCAACAGAGAGCGAAAATGGTACTTAGCACT